CTTCATAATATACAGTATTGTAGCGTCTGGAACACTCCAACACACAATATATATTTTGTTAGCTAGATTTCACAAATACTTTGTAACACCCCAGGACGCCGAACAAGACCCTGGTTTCATGGTAACCCGATACATTTACAACCTTGTGGAATGCGAGCCGGCTCTCATTCTGCTTTCTCCAGAAACAAGGGGTACAAATGCACAGGAGAAATGGACTGTTCTACTAATTAATTCATAGGAAAACCTTCTTTGAATGAACACCCATTTTCTTCAGGCCAGTGTGTATATTATTGCTGTGTTGTATTTAATCTGATCTGTTGTATTATAGACTATTTTTATCCGTGCTTACGATAAACCACACATTCATATAAGTAACTATTTCATGTCTAGTATCTATGAATTCGCCTTCTTATGATCGAAACAAGTGTGTATATTATATGCTGATACCTATGCAACATATTGATGTTCTAAGAATCGGTACTAATTTGTGCCTCAACACTCCAGCGAATTACATATGCAAAATACCATGCTTACAGACAAAGACTCATAAAAATCCTCAGTATTTCCAACCTCCCGCTTGGGATTTCAGCCTTCCTCATTGGACGAACCCATCTTGAGAGGCGTGAATCTCTGCAGGCTTTAAAAGGCCACACTCCATGTGACCCGCCCCTGTTCGGTGGTTCAGTGAGATGCTAAGATGAAGATGTGAGAAACGCTCCAGGATACCAAAGCTCGTGCCAGGCTCCGGCCTAGTCCTTTTCATTCATCAAGTGATTCTGACTCAAACTAGCTCTTTCTCATCAACCAACTTCAGCAAGATCTTGGGGCCTTAAGATTGCATCAGGAATCTTTTTCAGACATACGCAAGTATCAAACTTAGTCGATTTAATTGATGCATTAAGTATCAGTTACACCTTTTTACAAGGTTTGTTGAACTAAGAATCTGACGTTTTCCCTCAGGTTTTAGATCTGCTGAATATGCAAAAATGGTTCCATAAATGTCATTCCTTATGTCTCTTTCTTTAGTGCTAAACTTTAACCCTTTCCTATACCAACTGTATGTGTGTGTGTGTGTATGTGTATGTTAGACCGGCTTAATGTGTTTATGTAGTATGTTAGACTAGTTTAAGTGTTTATGTAGTTAATAAAACCTTACTTGTATCACACTTGACGTGTTCATTGTTTACTCATAACCGGAGTCAATAATCATGCAGATTTACGTTACAAACTTATAGAATTGTACAGTAAGAAAGTTATTTCCTTTAACCAGGAAATTAACGTTCTTAGAATTGACAAGACGGTTGACCCTGAGTGGTCAGCTAAATATCTGTTACTGAGAGCACGTGCCTATATCGTAAACTATATCGAACATTTTTTATATCGTAATCGAAGAAGGCGTACCGTCGATAAATATCGATACCGTTTTATCACCCAAGTTCACCCAATAATGAAAATTACACCATGATTTACTCACCCTCAAGCCATCTTAGGTGTGTATGACTTTCTTCTTTCAGACGAATATATAAAAAAATGTCCTGGCTCTTCCAAGCTTTATAATGGCAGTGAATGGGTGTTTTTTTTTCAGCAGTCCAAAAGAAGTCCAATAAAGCGCATCCATCCATCATAAAAAGTGCCTCACATGGCTCCGGGGGTGAATAAAAGCCTTCTGTAGCAAATCGGTGCGTTTTTGTAAGAAAAAAACCCATATTTAAAGTTTTATAAACAGTAATCTCTAGCTTCCGCTAACTGTTGAACACACAGTCACAATAGAACGCCTTTCCGGTGTTTTTTTTTTTTTTTTACTGCGGTTACTTGAAATCATTGTTTTAGTGTCATTGGTATTGATAACCCCTAGATTATAGTTTTTGTCAATATTCTGAATTCATTTTTATTTTTATATTTTAATTTTAAAGTTTTAGTAATTTTGTTGTTTTTGTCTTTTTTTTTTTAATATGTCTATAATTCTTATTTAATTTCGTTTTAAATTGATTACTGATGCCTTAAAATAAGATTTTTAGATTTAATTTTACTACAGTGAATCAGTAAGAAATGAGTAAAATGGCTTCAGAGGTGAGGAAGAATAATAGGTATGGGATCAAATATGGGTTTTATTTACTAAATGCCTACAGTGCATTGTGTATGTTGAATATAATAACAGTTTTTGCAAGTATAAAGTTATTTTCTCCATGCATTAAGGCAGAGTGAAGTTTTGAAGCTTAAAAAAGGACAAAAGCACCATAAAAATAGGCCCTACAGCTTATATTAATGCTATAATTCAGCTGGAAAGAATACCACACAGAGAAAGCGTGTCAGCCCATTAAACCAGTCATGCTTTTCTCAATGATAATGTAATCTGATCGTCCACGTAAAGAATTGCATTTCTCCCACTTAGGGTTGCACTTAGTGACCATCACTGTGGCAACTTGTTTTGGTGACTAGTGTACATCTGCGGAAAAAAAAGCAAACGGCAAACTGTCAAGCTTTCAGCACGGAGTTTTGTTATTTCTCTTCAGGTTTTTTCAGTGGCAAACTCAGTCAGAACATATAATGTTGATTATATGAAGCTGTGTAATAAGAGACCCTTACCCATTTCTCCGACTTAGGGTTGCACTTAGTGACCATTACTGTGGCAACTTGTTTTGGTGACTAGTGTACATCTGCGGAAAAAAGCAAACGGCAAACTGTCAAGCTTTCAGCACGGAGTTTTGTTATTTCTCTTCAGGTTTTTTCAGTGGCAAACTCAGTCAGAACATATAATGTTGATTATATGAAGCTGTGTAATAAGAGACCCTTACCAATCACAGTCCAAGGAGAGAAGTGACAAACACCTTTAAGGTAAAAGTATCTGAAACATGCAAGCAGCTCAAGCCAATTGTAATTGTAATATATCTGTTTTATCAATATTGTTTTATATATTATGTTAAAAATCTTTAAAAGAGTTTATTTCTTAGTATGTGTTAAAGTAGCTGTTTTGTTTGAAAAAACTCATATTCATCAAATTTACTTTTTATGCTAAATAAATAAATAATTACTTTTGTTAGCAGAAATGCTGTGCACACGAGAAGAGAAAGTCCACCCAAAGGATATCAGCAACATCCAATTAGGAAATCTGACAACTTTATTCTTAAAATTTGAAAAGGTGAGACATAATGTGTGTGTGTGTGTGTGTGTGTGCTTCTTTTTACATATTTTTATTAAATATAATTAAATATTAAATATATGTTTGCAAACATGTGTGTGTGTGTATGAAAATATAGTTAAGTTACAATGGGAACTTGCAAAATTAATATATATTTTTTTTTTAAACAGCAAAAAATGTCAAAGTTAACATGCGATACAAAAATATCAAGCCATTTTGGCCAACAGAAATTATGATTAATCACATGTATAAAATTACAACATATAAAAGGTGTGACAACCTGCCCCGACCTTACATTTTTGTAAAATACTCTTATCCTAAGAACACAGCTTTATGTTTAATTTCAAGACTGCCTTCATAATATACAGTATAGTGTTTCTTGCATGAGTTTGTGTCAGTGTCATTTTTTGTGTTGACATGTTTATCCAGCAAGCAAAAATATTATGATTTTATAATTTTAGATACTGTATTTAAAGTGTTTTTCTTTTAACCATGGTTACTTGAAATCAGTGTAATTTTAGTATCATTGATATACTATTATAGTTTTTATCATTATTTTGAATTAGATGTTATTTTTACATTTTCTGTTTTCTCTTACATGTACGTTTTTTTTATTTGTTGTGTTTTTCTGTCATTTTTATTATATATTTTTTGTAAAAAATGTGTCTGCAGTTCTTATTAATTTTTATTTAGTTTTAAAATAAGTGATGACTCAGCAACTAGCTGAACAGTGTCATTTTTTGTGTTGACATGTTTATCCAGCAAGCAAAAATATTATGATTTTATAATTTTAGATACTGTATTTAAAGTGTTTTTCTTTTAACCATGGTTACTTGAAATCAGTGTAACTTTAGTATCATTGATATACTATTATAGTTTTTATCATTATTTTGAATTAGATGTTATTTTTACATTTTCTGTTTTCTCTTACATGTACGTTTTTTTATTTGTTGTGTTTTTCTGTCATTTTTATTATATATTTTTTGTAAAAAATGTGTCTGCAGTTCTTATTAATTTTTATTTAGTTTTAAAATAAGTGATGACTCAGCAACTAGCTGAAATAAAATTAGATTGTTATATTTTATTTCAGTTAACATTTATTTTATTTCAAGTATGACATTTTTTTTAATGGTTTAATTTTAGTTTTAGTTAACGATAACATCCCTGCTTGTAATATGAATAAACTTAAAACATAATAAACTTTGAAAATAAATTTGAACTGAAATAAAAAAAACGTAATCTTCTTTTATTTTAGCTAGTCGCCAAGGCAATATTTCTCATTTTCATTTAGTTTAAATTAATGTACTAAAATTAGGGTTGCAAAAGGGTGGAACATTTCCGGTAAATTTCTGTAAACTTTCCAAAAATCCCTGGAATATTCCCAAAAAATCCTGGAAAGTTTGCAAAATTTCTGGAATATGTCCGAAATTTACTGTAAATGTTCCACCTTTTTGCAACCCTAACTAAAATAAGTAAAACTAAAACAAAAACTATATAGACAAAAAAAAAACACAAATAAAAATGACAAAAACAGTCAAATTTAACTAAAGATAAAATGAAAACAGAAAATATTAAATATGAATAAATATTAATACACACTATAGTAGTATCAGTGATACTCAGTGAAGTTGTTTTCACAGCACAACTCGTGATCTGATCTCTGTAAATGAGGCTTGCAGTCTCTGCTCCAGATTCCTGCAATGCTTCCGTCTCTGTGTCTGACATCACCACTGCAGCAGTGCAGTTTTTCAGCGCAGCAGCAAATGCATTGTAGCCCATCCTGTCCATGCCCATGCCCTCCCTCTCTCCCCGTCCCGTGCATCTGCGCTTCTCATTCACGCTGACTGTGTCTAACACGAGCATGGATGAGGCAGCAGAGGAGGTGACCCTGGTGCAAACCCTCACTGTGAGCACCATTAAAGGTCGATATCTGTCTCTGTCTCCCTACTTCCAGCGCTGCTCGCTCGCCTCCTGGATTAAAGAAAACATCAAGAAGAAAGAGTGCTGCTTCTATGTGGAGGATGGCAGGTATGAGGAGCATGTTTAGATGATCTTTCATACTGGGGAATTAACCCTATAAGCCTACTGTATCATATTTGATATGATCAAAGTTTGCTGAAAAACATCACAATCTGCTCCATGCCTTCTGTCGTCTGATTGATAGTTTAGACTTTTTTAGCAAGTAAAAGCCTTTTAGTGTAATTGTACAAACGTCCAGCTTCAGCTCGTGCATCACGTGTGTCTTCACTGATTTTTATCTAGTAAACATAAGAATAACAGTTATATTTCCAGATGAACACTTACTGGATTGAAGTCATTTTTTACTTGATTAACCATCGTGTTTTAGAAAAAGTCTCAAATATGATCATCAGGCTTTTGAGGAACGTTTATTTGTTCATCTCTCAATCATCATTGTATTGCATTGCATTATATGTTTTGATAAACTAAGCATTTAAATAGCATCTTACTAAGACATAATATTGGAGATATAGAGTGACGATTGATATTTATATCATTTTATGTAATTATCTGCTGTACTGCTATAAAGATCTCATTGATTTACATTACAAGCATCAGAATTTCATCCCTTTTTGTCCATATAAATATCAACATCTGCATTACATTTTTGCTCAGTTTGGAATAAAAAAAATTCATCCTCGAGTTTGAGATCCATATTCTCACTATATCATATTATATTTAATACTATTTTGTCTAAACTCAAAAATTCAAATATATAATATTTTTTATATTTTGTCTAAACTCTTCATTTGAATTTTTAAAGATTTTTCAGACTATTATTTCATATGTCAGGTTTTACAGGGTTTAATTTAGTTTTGTTTTTACAGAAACGTGTGCAAGATTTTTTAAATTGTATATATAATAATAACAATTTACTCATCCAAACCTGTATGACTTTTTGACCCAAAAGATGTTTCGCAGAATACCTGAGCTGCTGTTTTCCCATGCAGTGAAATTGGAGGGGGATTTTTATTGTTGAGCTCCAAAATTATGCATAAAATTATCCTGACTTTTGCATTGAATATATTTAGCTGAACTATTCTTTTAAAAGTTATTCTGTGTGTTTAAAATTCATCCCTTTTTGTCCATATAAATATCAACATCTGCATTACATTTTTGCTCAGTTTGGAATAAAAAAAATTCATCCTCGAGTTTGAGATCCATATTCTCACTATATCATATTATATGAGTCATGAACCCTGGAGTATCAAATATAATACAACATAATATTATATATTATATTTAATATATTGACTTTTTGACCCAAAAGATGTTTCGCAGAATACCTGAGCTGCTGTTTTCCCATGCAGTGAAATTGGAGGGGGATTTTTATTGTTGAGCTCCAAAATTATGCATAAAATTATCCTGACTTTTGCATTGAATATATTTAGCTGAACTATTCTTTTAAAAGTTATTCTGTGTGTGTTATTATATGATGTTTTAATTAATGGTGTCAATCATGCACTGTAAATACTGTAAATAAACCGATTATTGAAGTACGTTTTACAAGAAAATTATATTTAAGTCTTTTTATGTTTAATCCAATGTGTTACTTTCATTCCTTTGAAATTTATTTGTGAAATTTACTAGCAATTTCTCAGTGAAAATCGTTTCAAATTTAATCCAACACCAGATGTTTTCAGTGTATGCAACTTCACTTTACATCAATATGACACACAGAAATGGTCCCGTTGACAAGCGGTGAACTAAAGAGCACGTGTATACACTCCTGTTGGCTTCTGTGTGTAGTTCAGCAACATTCGGACAATATGTGTGCTGCGCGTGTTGTTGGGCTGTAACTCATGTGTGGATAACATGGATTACTGTTGGCAGGGAGGGGATTTGTAAGTGTGGTCACCCAAAGATCCAGCACTGCGATGAGGCCATCAAACCGGAGGACTATATGGGGGATCAGTGGGACAGACACAGACACGTCAGAGAGGTGCCCACCGATGCCTTTGGAGATCTCAGCTTTGGAGGACTTGGACAGAAAACCGGAAAGGTAAAATTGGATTCAAGCAAACCTCATGTGTGTTCTAGATGTTTGAAGTATATTATTTCACCCCAAAATGAAAATGTGCTGATGATTTTCTCACCCTCAGGCCAACCAAGATTAGGATGAGTTTGTTTCTTCATCAGATTTGGAGAAATGTAGCATTGCATCACTTGCTCACCATTGGAGTGAATGGGTGCCGTCAGAATGAGAGTCCAAACAGCTGATAAAAACATCACAATAATCCACACCACTCCAGTCCATCAGTTAACATCTGGAGAAGACAAAAGCTGCATGTTTGTAAGAAACAAATCCATCATCAAGACGTTTTAACTTCAAGTGTTGCTTCCAGCTACAATATGAGTTCATAATTCATAATAACGCTTCCTCCAGTGAAAAAGTGCATCTCCTGTTGTCTCTCACATCAAAATCCACCCACATATTTGTTTAGAGCTGTTTTGGACTGTTTAAACGGTGCTTGATCTGTGCAGATTTCTCTCCTGATTGAGCGTTATTATGGATTATAGACACATATTGAAATTACAGTTTGAAGTTAAAAACGTCTCAATGATGGATTTGTTTCAGCTTTTGTCTTCTCCAGATGTTAATTGATGGACTGGAGTGCTGTGGATTACTTGTGGATTATTGTGATGTTTTTATCAGCTGTTTGGACTCTCATTCTGACGGCACCCATTCACTGCAGAGGATCTAGAATTATTATTTTCTTCTATCGTGTGTGATTAGTATGTTCGGGTGTCGTCGGACACGTCCTGTGAGAGTCTGTACCAGTTGATGACAGAACACTGGAAACTGCGTTCACCGAACCTGCTGATATCAGTGACCGGCGGAGCCAAAAACTTCTACATAAAGACTCACCTGAAGGACAAGTTCCGTCGAGGCCTCATCAAAGTCGCCCAGACCACAGGTACAGCAGCCTGCATAAGTGCCCAGTGTAAACTAAATTACCACATAGCTCTAGATATAAAGGTCTAAAGCAGCATAAATCAGTATATTATACTGATTTCTGAAGATCATGTGACACTGAAGACTGGAGAAATGATGCTGAAAATACAGCTGCGCATCACAGAAATACATTACAGTTTAAAATATATTCACATAGAAAACATAGAATTTTAAATTGTAATGATATTTCACAATATTACCGTTTTACTGTGTTTTTGATTAAATAAATGCAGCCTTGGTGAGCTGAAGAGACTTCTTTCAATAAATGAAAAAGTTGTAATTATTCCAAAATTTTGACCACCAGTGTATAACCTTAAAATATCTGTTGCTATCAAATTAATCCCAGATCTGATTAATTTTCCTGATTGGTCAGATCTTTGTTGCCTATCTGTTTTCTTTTTAATTTTAGTTCAAATTAAAGTGGTGTGCATTTAAGTCATTTTATTAGTTTTATTTTATAATTTTTTTAATACGGTTTTCATGAAATTTTAGTTTTAGTTTATTTAATTTATGTCATTTAAAACTTCCGATTAATCTAAACAAAAATAAGGAATGTTGCCTTGGCCACTCACTGAAATAAAATAAAATATTAAAAAAAAATGTAATACTTGTTTTATTTCAGTTAATGTCTATTTTATTTCAAGTAATGACATGTTTTATGGTTTTAGTTAACCATAACAACCCTGGTTAGAAGCATGTTCAGTTCGATTCAATTTATTATCGCATAGGAAAAGTGATTTTGCATTTACTTTCACATAAGTATATACCATAAAAACACACACGTGCTGCCATTAAACAGTATCACAAAAAAATGAGTGCACATAACAAAAGCTTGTCTGTGATGTCTTAAATGCTAAATATGTAGGTAGCTTGCCAGGTTTGTCTATAGCTCTCAATGACACTGACTGAAAATGAGAGAATTAGAGCATGTGTGTGCAGCCATCACAAACGGCAGAATCAAGTTTTTGATGGTTTGTATTGACATGCTTTTTCAGGTGCATTACACAGTTTAGACTTATCTGTTCTTGTCTTGTCTATTTTAGGGTTGTTTCCCGGCATACTACTCTCTGGACGAGCAGGGTCAAGGCCATCTCTCCTGTCTCGATATCAATCACACTCACTTCTTGCTGGTGGATGATGGCACTTACGGACATTATGGAGCTGAGATTGAGCTGCGGGCCCGTCTGGAGAAACTCATCTCTCAGCAATCGCTGGGAAATAGAGGTGCAGTGTTGAGGAAGCTTCACTAAATGCGGATTACTCCTAATTTAACAGAAGTTGTTTTTGCAATCAGAGCAGTGATTATATGGCAAAAGTTCAGCCAGAGAATATACAGGTAGGTCATACTTTGTGTAAAAAGTACAGTACAGTAAAAAGTTTAGCAGTTTAGGGTTGGTGAGATGTTTTTTTAATGTCTTCTGCTCACCAAGGCTGCATTTATTTGGTTAAAAATACAGTAAAAACAGTAAAAAAAAAGTGAAATATTACTACAATTTAAAATAACTGTTTTATATTTGAATATATAGTGTTACAAACCAGTCTTTAGTCTAGGGGTCACAGAGTGGAAGTAACAAAGGAAAAACAGATGTTTAAATAAATAAATAAGCGATGAGGAGACTCCTTTTCCTCTATCCCAGCTTCTATCACTTTCACTACAGACGTTATTAATAAAGATTCACCACTAAACCCCTCTGTATAACATTGTTCCACAAAAGCAAAATCAGAAATCATTCTAATATGCTGATTTGCTGCTCAAGAAACATTTCTGATTATTATCAGTGTTGAAAACAGTTGTGATGCTTCATATTTTTGTGGAAACCGTGAAAATCTTATTTTTCAGGATTCACAGATGAACAGAGAGTTCAAAAGAACAGCGTTTATTTGAAACAGAAACCTTTGTTGCATTATAAATGTCTTTACTGTCACTTTTCATTATTTAGTACATCCCTGCTGATTAAAAGTATTAATTTCTTTCAAAAAGAAAAATCGTACTGACCCCAAACTTTTGAACTGTAGCGTGTTTTGTAGAAATATAGGCAACCATGCACATATGATCACAGAAAGGCTTGATAATAACAAAAATGTTATAAATTATATGTATCTGCACAACAGTTAGAAGTTATTGAAACGGAATACAATTAATGCATGAGGTAATTTTATCACTTTTAATTGGCATGTTTATTTATAGGCCTCTCTTGCCGCCTCTGATGGATTTCAATACAAAAAAGACTCTTTTTTTAAACCAATTCATTGGAATCAACGGTTCACTAAAATGAATCAGACTTTCTAGCTCTACTATAACGCTGTCACGTAACTTTAGTTAGTTACTCCGTATCACAGATGAATAGTAAACAGACAGACAAAAGTCAGAGGTCAGCAGACGACCTTTGTCTGACCTTTCAGACCGGCAACAGCTTACATAAACACAAAGTATATGAAATATAAGCGATCTCAGAAGAGTTGAATAAGATGTATCTTAAGCAGTGAATATTTGTTTTTATGTATATTTTTGTCTTTCTTTAGATTCAGGACATCATCCGAATGCCTCATTTGCTCACTGTGTTTCATATCGACGAGGATAAAAACTACGATGTTGACGTTGCCATTCTACAGGCTCTACTGAAAGGTGCGAGTCCATATCACTTTTCAGACAGCACATGGTCAAGTCTCTGCTTTTCTTAATCTGAAATTCGATTACTTAAATTAGTTTTTCTGTGCAGAGCCTAATTGTGTTGTGCTGGTAATGGTTGGGTAACTAATGGCAGCTGAGAGTAGGGTTGGGTACCGTTCACATTTTAACCGGTACGGTACTGGTATCGGTACTTGAATTTCGGTGTCGGTACCCAACGGTACTTTACTCTCTGTGTAATTACAAAAACATTTATTTCAGTGAAAAAATAAATCCAAAAGTCTCAATTTCAACATTTTGAACAATAGGGCCCTACAAACTTTTTCTCTTTTTTCCCCAGAATTTCTTGTTTTAATTTTTCTGAAAATCAAATGAAGGCATTAAACATTTATTTTAAATCAAATGAAAATTAAACCCTTTTATTTTTTGGCAAACAAACTGAGGTTTACTGTTGAAATTAATACATGGAAGAAAAATTGTGTGAATATTCCTTTAAAAAAAAATTTTAATAGGCCAATAATTGTATTATTTTTTTCTACAATTAAGTGATTAATCTAGTTGTAATATTTATTTTTATCATTTAATTGTTTTATTTAAATTTGATAGAAAATTGAATATTTAAAGATGTACATTATACTTTACAAAAGTAATACAAGAGTAATATATTTATGTTACATGTTAAACCATACTTTTATTTTGACAGGTTGCCATGAAGTTTATACAATATGATGATGCTAGTTTTCTCAAATGAAACTGTAAAATTCTCACGAAGTGACTCTCACAGCAGCTCTGGAGATTACATTTTTGTGTTCATGCCGTCATATAGTAAGACGCAGAGGCCGAAAATCACCGCGAGCGTCACGTGTGCTTCAGTATTTGTGTAGTAAACAAAACCGCGTTTCCGCCATTCATACATACAGAGGCAAGCAGAACATGCAGGATTAATATTTAAAGCGTCTTTTTACATTTTAATATTCACAGACACTAGTTCATATCGCGATTCGAATTAAGTGGCATTGGCTACTTTTGATTTATTCATCCAAAGTTGGCGAATACCGTGCTATAGAGTAAATTACGTTTTTATGAATGGACTCCACGATCCCGTCCGCGTTTTCACAGAAACCATTATGGCCCTAGAAATGTAACCACACTTCAGAACATTTCGGCTTGACCTGTGTGTTGTTTGAACGAGTTGCAGGGGTGACCTCACTTCACAGTGTCTCTCTGTAGCGTATGCACCAAGATGCGTTCTCAAGTATCGAAATTTGGCACCGATTGATTTAACGTGAATCGGTACTCTGTAGTACCGACGCAATTCGGGCGGTACCCTTAAAAGTACCGAGTTCGGTACCCAACCCTAGCTGAGAGTGCATTGAATCTTTAGCTGTAATCTATACAGTGACCGAGAGCCTGTCAACACTATTATTCACATTAATTCAAATAACTTTAAGGTTAATGCTGTGTAGGAAACAGGAACAGGAAACGTGAGCACATTCATCCTCCCTTGACAGTCTGGAAGCGTCTCTGATAGAGGAAGCTATTAGTGCTGGAGCTATAGTGATAAAATGCTTTATTGAGCATTGAAGACTATCACACGTTTGCTTATAGACACACTTGACTTGTCTTTGCATTAGATGCTAGTGAGCGATACAGTTCTTCAGTGCAACACAAAACGTTAGACAGAATGGTTTTTTATTCCATGCTGTGAAAGTAAATGGTGACCGAGGTTGTCAAGCTCCAAAAATGACTGATTTTAAACGATCCATCCTATGTGAAATTAGAGGAGACCTGATAAACTATTTATTTTTGTATGATCTTTTGATTCAAGTAAAGCCTGATATATTGTTTCTTTTAGATGAGTATAATTTAATGAGCCATGGAAATCGCTAGACATTTAAAAAATATATATTATATGAAATGAAATGATCATCCTGCAGCAGTGCTATTTTAGTATTATTTACATACTATTAGAATATTTATTAATATTGTGAATTAGCTTTTTGTTTTTTATTAAGTTTTTTGTTATTGGCATTTTTATCCGTTTTTAATGTTTCCATTTCTTAAAATATATTTTTAGATATTTAAATTCTTTAATTTGTAGTTTTAGTAATTTTAGTACTTGAACGTTTTCAGTCAGTTTTTTTCTGTAATTTTCAGTAAAAAATGTTAAGCTTGTTTTTAATCTAATATTTATATATTATTTTATTTTAGCTTCATTTCAGTTAATGATTTTAATAACAATGATGACACTGTTGAGAATGTTTTATGCATCAATGCAAAACAAGTATTAAAAGGTCAATTTAATTTTAAGGATGTTTTGTTGTTGTTTTCTGGAAAACAAGACAAAAATAATGATATTGAATTAATAATGATAAGAAAATTGGTTATTAATTGGCATGAAAATATGTCACAATGCAAAGAATTCAAGAATTCAATCAAAGATCCGAAAGACCTTTTCCAAAAGTTTACGTTTTTCATTTAATATTTATATTTTTATAAATACAACAGCACCGTTTATAAAACTATAAACCCTCTTATAGAAAACCTTAAAAACGATCGGTGACCTAAACTTGACCTTGAAACACTAAAGACTTAAGACATTTTTTTTCCATTTCTTGGTCGGGAGAAGCAATAAAAAAAGACAAACTGGTAAGAACTGTTAAACCTCACACAGATGTTCCTCACACCCGCAGCCTCCAGAAGCGATGAACACGCGGGGCGTCAGTCGTGGGAGAGACAGCTGGAGCTCGCTGTGGCCTGGAACCGGGTCGACATCGCCGAGAGCGAGATCTTCACCGAGGAGAGCCAGTGGACGGTGGGTTACAATAATGCAAAAGCTGCCACAATTACAGAGACTTACAAACAAAACTAAACTAGTGGATCAAATGGAAACTTTTGTACACAACATAAAATTATGTTCATTAACATTTGCTGAAATACATCAAGTGTGTGCACTGCAGATGCTGTTTTAACTTGTTTTGAAATACGACTGCAAGCCAAGCTTAGAAGCCGTGGTATTTTAGTATCATTGATACAATCTGATAGTTTAGGTAGTTTAGTATAATATAGTTTTTTTATTTTAATTTCAATGTTAGTTTAGTTTTAATGTTTAATGTTTTCGTAGTGTCTTTTTTTAATATATATATATATTTATATATTTATTTATATATTTAGTTTTTGTTTATTTTGTTTATTAAACTAAACAAAAATGAGAAATATTACCATGGCGATTATATAATATTCTATTTCAAGTAATGACATTTCTTTGTATTGAAGTTTTAGTTAATGTTTTTGTACTTTTGTTGTGTTTTGTTATTTTTATTCGTTTTTTTAAAATATGTCTATGGTTTTTATTAATTTTTATTTATAATTTTTTTTTAGTTTATAAGTTTTAGTTATTACTTCAATGAAATGAAAATGAGAAATATTGCCTTGGCAACGAGCTGATATAAAATAAGTTGACCATTTTTGTAATTGATTTTATTTAATGTTTATTTAATTTCATTGAATGAAAATGTTTATCGTTTTAAATGTAATTATTTTGTGTGTTTTCATTATTATTATTATGATTTTTAAACATGTCTATATAGTTTTTATAATTTTTTTTCCCTTTTTAGTTTTAGTTTATTTAGTACTTTAACTTAAACTAAAAGAAAATGAGAAATGTTGCTTTGACAAATAGATATAAAATATTATTATTTTTTTAGATATTTTATTTAAGTTCAGTTAATGTTTATTTTAAGTAATAAAATGTTTTTTTAAAGGTTTTAGTTAACAATAATAACCCTGCTTAGAAGTCAATAGTAATACACTAGTGCAGGGGTGCCTAACCCTGTTCCTGGAGATCTACCTTCCTGCAGAGTTTAGCTCCAACCCTGATCAAACACACCTGAACCAACTAATTAGGATCTGAAAGTGCACTTGATAATTACAGACAGGTGTGTTTGATCAGGGTTGGAGCTAAACTCTGCAGGAAGGTAGATCTCCAGGACCAGGGTTGGGCACCCCTGCACTAGGGTGACCTGGTTGAGTTTGTGGTGATGTTTTTTCCATATCTTTCTCGTCTCAGTCCTGTGATCTGCATCCGGCCATGTTTTCTGCGCTGGTGGGAGACAAACCCGAGTTTGTGCGGCTCCTGCTGGAGAATGGAGTGTGTGTGAGGAAGTTTCTGGAGCATGAGGACACGCTCTGTGAGCTTTACGCCCACCTGCCCGCCTGCTTCTTCCTGCGCAAACTCGCTAAAAGAGTCCAGGGTGGAAAAATCCGCAGGGGTCAAGAGCCGCCGCCTGGAAGCACAAAGATCTCCTTGAGTCACGTGGCTGAAGAAGTGCGCCACCTGCTGGGGAGTTTCACTCAGCCGTTATACGAGCCGTCACGCTACAAGATGACTAAAGATGATGTCCGTTTGATGGCAAGTTTAAGAACAGCACATCAAAAACACCTCAGCAACAAGGACATATAAATACAATTAAATTGAATTAATACATTGTTATTTTTTCATATTGCAGCAGTGTTATTGTACTACACTCTTAAAAATAAAGGTGCTTCAAAAGGTTCTTCAAGCGATGCCATAGAAGAACCATTTTTGGTTCCACAAAGAAGCATTCAGTCAAAGGTTCTTTAAAGAACCATCTCTTTCTTACCTTTTTATAATCTGAAGAACCTTCTTTCGCCACAAACAACCTTTTGTGAAACAGAAACGTTCAGACGTTAAAGATTCTTTATGGAACCAGTGTTTATTAATAATTTTTATTTTTATGTTTTCCATTTTAATTTTAGTTCAGTAGTAGTAATTTTGTAATTTTCCATTTTTATTAGTTTTTTTATATTTCTATTTAACTTTCATTTATTTTTTTTGTTGTTCGTTTTAGTCATTTTAGTACTTTGGTCAACTTTTTTATTTAATTTAAATGCCAAGGCAATATTTAAATTTTGAAATTTCAAGAGAAATATTTCAAGATTGTCAGCTAATAGTTATATTTTCATTTTGTTTCAGCTTCATTTCAATTAACGAAAACACTTTTAATAGTTTTAGTTTAAGTTAACAATAACAACACTGCTGAGGATTGCAATGGTTTTTGCTTCAGTACTAAAAAAATGTCTTCATGTAAATTTAGTTTTAATGTTATTTTTACTGGAAAACAAGGCAAAAATAATTAAATTTAACTGATAATGTTATTATGAAAGTGGGTTATTAATTTACATGTAAGCATGTATATACTATTATAACATTTATTAATGTTTTTATTTTTACATTTTCAGTTTTTATTTTATTTTTAGTTTTAATCATTTTGTTATCCATGTTTTTGTTGTATTATGTTTTTTTATATTTCTATTTTTATTTCAGATTTATTTCAATGAACAAACTCTTTTTTTGAAAACAAGACAAAAATTATGATATTACATTGATAATGATAAAAAAATTAGTTATTAATTGACATGAAAATAATAATGTCACAATTAGTGCTGTCAGATTAATCGCATCCAAAGTTTTGTTTACATAATATATATGAGTGTACTGTTTATATTCATGTATATATAAATACACACACATGCATGTATATATTTAAGAAAAAAGTGTTATGTTTATATATTAAAAATATTTATATATAATAGAAATTATATGAATATAAATATATACATGTAAATACATGGGTCAAAGACGAAAAAGGGTTTAAGCATAAAAACAATAAGTGTAATACTGCTTTAAATTACTGTTGTTTTCCCCCCAAAAAATTATCTTGTTGTTTTCAGTTTAATTTAATTGCAAGTTTGTTTTTGTTTTTCCGAGCAAAAAATAAATATCATACATTTTTCCCCTGATTTACAGAAGAGACACACTAAAATGTCATTCAGTGTAACATTATTGTCAGGCATATTTACAAGAAAAATCAGTTTATGACATATTAAAAGACTAATTACTTTCACCCCAAATACTAATTAGTTGTCATTTTACATTTTTTAAATGTGCCACTATCCTAGGTTTTGCCCATTTGTCAGTAAGAATTTTTACTCATTTAAAACACAATAAAATTTAATATGCTCCCTTATTCTTTTATACATATTTTAATATGTACACATCAGAATAAGCATGCTGTTTGAATTTTTACATAAATATTGTGTTACACTGAATGACAACGTAACATTATTTCATCAAATTTTAACATTTTATTCTCCAAAATCTTATTTGAAACCTTAAAAGTAGACACTTTACTTACATTTCATGTGCTTTCTATGGACATATAATTTTGATGCGGACATCTTAACGTCTTTGACCCACATGTAAATGTTTTCAAAATATATACTGTATGTGTGTGTATTTATATATACATAATATACATACACAGTACACACACACACATATTATTAGAACAAAAACGTTTATTTTGGATGCGATTAATCGCGATTAATCGTTTGACAGCACTACTCACAATGCATCTCAAAGATTCTAAAGTAGGCATCTTGTACAAAATATAATTTAATATGACTTATTTTTGACCCGGACATGTTTTGGCAAGCTTCTAGAATGACGGTTATCAGAAGAGTCGTGTGTTTTCTTCACTGTTTCAGGTGCCGTCCAAAGGCCTGGTGGATCTGCCGTGTTCGGGTGAAGAGTGGAGCGCAGACACGGTTTGGGACCCGGGACGGGATCTGTTCCTCTGGGCCGTCGTGCAGAATAACACAGAACTGGCAGAGATCGGCTGGGAGCAGGTACAGCAGTGATTAGTGATGAACGCTCCACTTTAGGATTCGCATTTACTTGTTTTCTGCTTCATTTGGTGGTAGAAACTCATATAGCTGTGAAACATAATAATAATAATAATCAGTGCGTTTGGATAGTTCACATAATTAAACTGATTAAGGAAAAAACTATTTGATGATTTTAGCAACTGTAATGTATTTATAGTGAAAAACTATATTATTATATTTCATACAGATAATTTTTTATGTTTTTAAATGTCCAGTAACCTATTTGCAGAACCAGATTTTAATTTATTTACTTGTATTTTTTGACACAATAATACATAATCATTAGACTATTAAAGAACAATTAAAATGAAATTCATTATGAGTATTTAATAACTATTATAATAATAATTATTATTATTACACTGGTTATGAAAAAAACAACTGAGTTATTTGCATACCTGTGTGGTATTTATAGTGAAATGTTTTGTTATTATATATCATACAGATTATTTTTTATGTTTTCAAGTGTCCAATATCCAATTTTTAATTTTTATTTTAATGTTTCATAAAATAATACATAATCGTTACTAATAATAATAATAATAAATATTAACAGCAGCAATAATAATAACAAAAACAACAATAATAATAATTATTATTATTATTCAGTTTTGTTGCCTCTCTTTCATGTGAAATATTGTCCATTCAATTTTGTGAAAATGAATGAAGTTCACATGATTAAACAAGTTAAAAATAAATAAAACATATCAAATTATTTTATGCTAATAATAATGGCTGCTTTTCATAATTTTTTGACTACATTATATAAATTATGGAGTTTTCTATTTTTATTCATTGTAGTTTGCCTAAATTTAGCTATTCTGATGCTGTTTGTGTGAAACAAGTACTCAGATGATTTATGATAAATGGTATAATCTGATTGTGTATTTAAAGGGGTGCTATTATGCTTTTTCACTTTTTCAACTTTAGTTAGTCTGTAATGTTGCTATTTGAGCATCACAGCACACACCGACCCAGCTAACCCATCACAGCAGACACTGGCCCAGCTAACCAATCACAGCACACACCGGCCACAGCTAACCAATCACAGCACACACCGGCCCAGCTAACCAATCACAGCACTTTTCTTATTTCAGAAGGCGGGCCTTCATTTGATGCAGGAACTATTCGAGCTGTTCATGCCAGACTGGGGAGAGAGGTGTTGTAATAATGTAAAATATCTGAAAAATAATGTGTTTTTCGAACAACCTAGTATGAGAGCCTGTTCTAGTACACCCCCAAAACAAAATCAAGACTTTGTAAAAGAGCATAATAGGACCCCTTTAAAAAGATAATGATCTCCTCTTGAATAGCGTCAGTGTGGTTGCGGTTGTAGTTAGTATTGTGTTGTGTTTGCAGTGCAGAGACTGTATCGCAGCCGCTCTGGCAGCCAGTAAGATCTTGAGGAAACTGGCGCAGGAGAGCGGAGAGGACGACAGCGAAGAGGCAAAGGAAATGAGAGAACTGGCCAGTCACTACGAGAAACAAGCCATCGGTACGAGCTGACACATCGCCTCATGTCCTCTGAGCAGAGCTGTGACCTTTAACCTTGTGCTGGTGACTTCCTGTCTCAGGTGTGTTCAGCGAGTGTCACAGCTGGGACGTGCAGCGGGCGCAGAAGCTGCTGATCCGCGTGTCTCCGTCGTGGGGCAGAAGCACCTGTCTGTGGCTCGCGCTCGAAGCCAACGCAAAGAGCTTCATCGCTCACTCTGGAGTCCAGGTGAACAAACCCTAAAAAAAAATCGAAATATTGAGAAAATCATCTTTAAAGTTGTCCAAATGAAGTTCTTAGCAATGCATATTACTAATCAAAAATGAAGTTTTGATATATTTACGGTAGGAAATTTACTAAATATCTTCATGGAACATGATCTTTACTTAATATCCTAATGATTTTGGGCATAAAAGAAAAATCAATAATTTTGACCCATGCAATGTATTGTTGGCTATTGCTACAAATATCCCCCAGCGACTTAACACTGCTTTTGTGCTCCAGGGTCACAAATATGAATGGCTTTCCTGTCTTGGCGTATTAAAGGGATAGTTCACCCAAAATTGAACATTAAGTCATGATTTACTCACCATTGTGATGTTCTAATGCCATATTTCCTTCTTTCATTTTTCGGATCACAAAAGGAGATTATTTTTAAAAACATTTGTCGAAAAAACTCGACTATTGGGTGGTGTCCTTATGATTGTTTAACTGAACTTTTGATCGGGCTGCCTGCATGGCTATGAGGTGCGGACGTCTGTACATTTTTCATGTTCAAAAATAAAATGTGTTCTCTGAATGACTGATTTGCTGTTTAAAACTCCTCATATGAGTGTCTGCATGTATAATTCAGTTTAGACGGTTTGGTGGAGTGAACGAGGATTGAGTTGTGAGTGAGGGTGCAGCCTCTGTGTTGCCAGATCCAGCTATTATAAGCGTCTCTGGACTCGTCTTTTCAACTTAATTTGACACTTTAGAAAGTTAATAAAGCGGGAAGTTGCAGTTTAGGGTTAGCGATATCTTTGTCTTATCTTGCACTAATTTTGGTTTATTTTCTATTTATTTTTCGGTATTTATTTGTTTTCATAGTAATATCTGGCAAGACTGCATCACCGGCACTTAACCTGACAGTAATCAAAAAAGCCCACGGACAGGTTATTGCTGACAGGATACCACATTCAGCAAAAAACATGATATTATCTATCAGAAACGTTATCAATGAATATTATTATTATTATTTAATTCATATTATTTATTCATAAGGATTATTATATGTGACCCTGGACCACAAAACCAGTCTTAAAGGGGTCATAGGATGCTACATGCACTTTTACAAGTTGTTTGAACTGAAATGTGTGTTGGCAGTGTGTGTACACAACCACCCTATAATGATAAAAAGCCACCAGTGGTTTTTTTTTTTATCTGGTTAAATGTTTTCCTCTTTCTCAAATCGAGCCGATCTCAGATGCCTGTCTGTGTGACGTCACACAGACAGGCAAATCATCAGGATATTAAGTAAAGATCATGTTCCATGAAGATATTTAGTAAATTTCCTACCGTAAATATATTAAAACTTCATTTTTGAATAGTAATATGCATTGCTAAAAACTTCATTTGAACAACTTTAAAGGTGATTTTCTCAATATTTAGATTTTTTTGCACCCTCAGATTCTAGATTTTCAAATAGTTGAATCTCGGCCAAATATTGTCCGATCCTAACAAACCATACATCAATGGAAAGCTTATTTGATTAATAAATATGATGATGATTATTATAACCAATATGCAGCACTATTTTTCTTTTTTTATTTCAGGTTTTTTGACACAAAAATAAATAAAAGAATATTAGAGAACAATTATTCATTATAAATATTATATATATTTTTATCAGATAGTATTATTATTATTATATTGCATAGATAACAAAACAATAATTTGTGCAATAAGAATAATAGCTATTATTAATAATATTATACATCTTATTGTATAATAATGATAATATTATTTTTATTTTATTTCTACAAAAAGTATTGCTTTTGTTTCTGATGGAATTTTATTTATATATTATTAAAAGGTTGTTTTGTGGTCTAAAAGATTGCATAAATATATTTTTTGGAGTCTGTGAAAGGGTAGGTAAGCAATGCATGCAAACCATTCGCTCGAAATAATAAAACGACCTGTGAACGCTTTTGTTTTTGGTGTTTTCTGGACAGGCTCTGCTGACTCAGATCTGGTGTGGAGAGCTGTCTGTGGATAATCCACACTGGAAAGTGCTGCTCTGCATGATCTTCTTTCCTCTCATCTACACCGGCTTCATGACCTTCAGGTAAAAACACTCATTTTCATCAAATGCATTAAAGTACTTAAACCTGAAGTCATGTCAATGTGCCATTACATGCGCACACCATCAGAAGGCAGCGCTGCACTGAATAATTAATCTGCAAATGCACTTTCACCACAAACCATGACTTTCAGTGATTCGCAGTGGCTTCATATAAGTGGTGTTTTAATTCTTAATGTTAAACTATACTCTCGCAGACGGGATGAAGACATCCAGAGACAGGCCGAGAGGACAGAGCAGCAGAAACTGGCCATGGATTCAGTCTTTTCTGGAAGCTCAGACACCAAACTCAAACGGCATTATCGGTTAGTTGAGTTACAGGCACAGACTCTGAGCATCTTCGGGCCACATTCACACGAATGCATTTAAAGGCATGAGTCAATCCCTTCAATCATTGTATTAAACTAATGTTAGCATCATACAGATCATTTGTTGTGTTTTTAACACAATAATACATCATATTTAGACAATTAAAGAACAATTATTCATTATGAATATTGCACAAAGAAATATTACTGTTATTTTTACATAACCAATATGCAGAACCACATTTAAATTATTTTATAAAAAATTTTAGATTGTTAAAGAACAATTATTCATTATGAATATTACATAAAATTATTATTATTATAATATATAATATTATTTTGGGTTTTTATTATTATTACATAAACAATATGCAGAACCAATTTTATTTTATGTTTTTGATTGTTAAAGAACAATTATTCATTATGAATATTACATAAAATGATTATTATTATATATATATAATATTATTTTGGGTTTTTATTATTATTACATAAACAATATGCAGAACCGATTTTTAATTACTTTAATTTAGTTTTTTGACACAATAATAATCCATCTTTAGACTGTTAAAAATAATTATACGTTATGAATATTACATAAAGTGATTGTTATTTTATAATGCATTATTATTATTATTATTATCTTCATGTAATATTCATAATGAGTTATTATTATTATCATGATTACATAACCAATATGCATAACCAGTTTTAATGATTTTATTTTAGTTTTTTGACATGATAATAAAAAATGGACTATTAAAAAACAATTATTCATTGTGAATATTACAAAAAGATTATTATTGTTGTTGTCTTTATGCAGTTTTCATGAGCTGCTATTATTATCTTCACGTAATATTCATAGTGAGTTATTATTAATAATATTATTATTATTATTATTACATAACCAATATGCACAACCAAATAATCTTTAGAATATTAAAGAACAATTATTCATTATGAATATTATATAAAGATTTATTATTATTATATAATGTGATCCTGCAGCACAAAAGCAGTGTTAAGTTGCAATAGCCAAAAATACATTGTATGGGTCAAAATTATACATTTTTCTTTTATGCCAAAAATCATTAGGATATTAAGTAAAGATCATGTTCCATGAAGATATTTAGTAAATGTCCTACTGAAAATATATCGAAACTTAATTTTTGATTAGTAATATGCATTGCTAAGAACTTCATTTGAACAACTTTAAAGATGATTTTCTCAATATTTAGATTTTTTTGCACCCTCAGATTCCAGATTTTCAAATAGTTGTATCTCGGCCAAATATATAATGTATCAACTCATTGTATAAAAATATAGAAATTCCCACAAACATTTATTCACTTATGTAGGTTGAATGAGTAAATGAATGGGGACAGTTCACCCAAAAAGGAAAATTAGCTCATGATTTACTCACCCTCAGGGTATCCTAGGCGTATCTGACATTCATCTTTCAGACAAACATAATCGCAGTTATATTTAAAATTGTCCTGGCTCTACCAAGCTGTATAATGGCAGTGAATGGTGCCCCTGTTTTTGAAGCCGAAAAAAGTGCATCCATCCATCCATCATAAAACTACTCCACACGGCTCCGGGGTGTTGATAAAGGCCTTCTGAAGTGAAATGATGCATAAGTGTAAGAAAAATATAGATTTTTTAAAGGGGTCATATGATGCTGCTATCACAACGAAACACAGCGTCACACACGGTGGCCTAGAGTGAACAGAGGCCGGGGGCTTGAGAACTGTGCGGCCGGCGGATTCGACGAAGGAGCGGTTCCTTTCTAAAAAAAAATTATTAAAAAAAGCCTACCGCTTATATGCATTCAGAAAGTCCAGTTTTGTGGAAGACACAGCATTTGACCACTGGATTTACAAAAATCGTTTTCAACATTCCATCAACTACTGATAAACACATTCATTTTTTATTTGAATTATCAGAGGGTTATTTAATCATGTATTATTATGTCTTTGGAAGGCTTTTGTCTTTCAAACACATTAAAATACACTAATTCACATATTTTCTTATTCACATGTAATGCAGACTTTCCCAAAGTTTTTTGTCATCTGAACCTCTTTCACCTAATATTTTTACTTGAAGTACCTCTGAGATTTTAAAATAAATATTTTAATAATTCAGTAACACATTTGCATGTTCACGGCTCTCTGGGGTCACATGACATGCAGGTAAACAAATGGAATATATTTTCTTACTCTTTCCCCGGGTTTCACAGACAAGGCTTAAGCCTAGTCCTAGACTAAAATGTAAGTCTGAGCTGCTTCAACTGAAAGAAACTTGCATTGACTGATCTTAAAATATATCAGTGCCTTTGTTTTATCTCAAGATGAACACCATGTTTTTTTTTCTAAGCAAGTTTATGAAAATGATCTAATCCTGGCTTAGTCTAAACCCCATCTGTGAAACCGGGTCTTTGTATTTTTATCAATGTGGTACAAGATTATCCTATTTAAATCAATGTGATAAATGAGTTTGGTCAAAAGTAATCTAAAAGTAATCATAGTAGTCTGATTAAATTACCTAAAATGTGCAATGTAATGGATTACGTTACTAACTACAATTTTTGTCATGCAATTTGGAATCAGTAACGGATTACAATTTGTAATTAATCTACCCAGCTCTGTATATATACTGTGTATGTATATACTGTATATGTACAACACAAAAATCACGGGAGCGGAAGAAAACAGTCCCGCACAGGGCTGTAATTTCCACCCTTAGGAAATATACCTCCTTTAGGGTGAAGTTGTAATTATTCACACATCGTGTTGTTATTTTGTATGTTGAAACTCTGATATGCCACAGTTCTATCATGACTTTGACGGGCCTGGTTTCCGGAGGAAAGCAAAGATGTACATCAGTGATCTGTGGAACATTCTGGATGTGCTGTCAATCATACTGTTCATTGCTGGTCTGGTCTGCAGGTAAACGCAACCACAGTTAAGACATGATTCATATTAATTCCGTACAGTTCATATTTGCTTTCAGTAAATTGAGTTATACAGAAATGATCCTCATACTTAGAGCTGTATAATTTTTTTTAAACAATTACTAATATGTATCTCTGTATTTATGTATTTCCTCTGAAATCACTTAAAATGGTCTTTTTTAATCAAGAGGAACCATAATTTTGATCAAACAGTCAATGTAGTCAAGTTGAATCAGTAAAAACAGTGACAATCTAGTTACAGTAATCATTTTCATTAAGGTAAGGGGAAACTTATTATTCCCATAAAGAATTATTAAATTATTAAAAAAAATATTTTCTCTAGAACGGATGTACGAATTACACAAGTTAATCAGAACTTGTGTAATTCATACATTTGGTTTTAGAGAAAATAGCTGTAAACGGCTGTAAAATCAAAAAAATAGTTGTGAAGTTGTTCACAGATTTGCATATCGTTTGGGTAATAAAAAAATAATAAATAGCAATATTTAAAAAGTAATATTTAATAAAAAAGCATTATTTACCTACAGATGTTTGCTAAAACATTTTAATGCATTAAAAATTCCATGTGGAATTCCGAATTATGAATCTGCTCATTAAAACAATTAAAATGATTTAACTGAAAATGTAATGCAAAATGCAAATTAAATTATATTATATTATATTAATGCATTTGCAAACTATTAATGTTTGTTATTATATTATAAAATTGCATATGGAATTATATGTATCTATGCAAAAATATGTTGTTTTGTATACTATACTTGTTTTGTAAGGACTATTAGTCAGTAGTTTAAGTCAGTTGTAGACCGTTTTTTAAAATTAAATATGAAATAAAATTTAATGCAAAATGCAATTTAAATACGCAAAAAAATGTAATGCAAAATGCTAATTAAATATGCATATTCATTCAACTGAAATAAATCAAACTTTCAACATTAATAGACTCTCTTGTAGCCCATATAAAGGAATCATATTTAAAGTTTGTGTTCCTCATGTGTTCATTTAAATTCAGTTAAGTTGCATAATGACTCAGAAATGAATTGAAAGTAAACTAAATCAGTCTTTTTGTGTTTGTCGTACAGACTTCAGGCCTCCGGTACTGTGTTCTATGTGGGTAAAGTTATTCTCTGCATCGACTTCATCATATTCTGTCTCCGATTAATGGCCATCTTCACTATCAGCCGAACTCTGGGCCCCAAGATTATCATCGTCAGGAAAATGGTGGGTTTGCATGTTCATAATGCTTATTTATTCACTTATAATTCACTTATAATTGATAATTATATAATAATTCTATACAGCCTAAGTTGTGAGAGACTCACAAGGAATCAAATATTTCTTTCTTGAACAAGTTCGTTGTAATATGAAACATCTTGGACCTCAGGGGCGATAAAGATTCATATGAGCCTCTCATAATGTAACATATTTTTGCATAAAAGCAAATGCAGACAGACTGAGCTATGAATGTTGTCTCTTCTCTTTGCAGATGACGGATTTGTTCTTCTTCATGTTTCTGCTCAGTATCTGGGTGGTGGCGTATGGCGTGGCCAAGCAGGGCATTTTGATTCACAATGAAGACCGTCTGAACTGGATCATCCGCGGAGCCGTCTATGAGCCCTACCTTATCATTTTCGGCAACGTCCCCACTAATATAGACAGTGAGCAGTTTACTAACTTTACAGTTGAAATCACTCGATTGCGCACTAAAGGAAGATATCACAACAGTAGGGTTCTGATAAGTAAATCTCACTCATTTTCTCCACAGAGTGCAATAATGTATAAACATTTTAAGATGCACCTACTATGAGCTCCAAGAGTTGGTGTGATTTCTACTTTGTTGAAAAGAAGTTCAGTAACTCTATTAAAGATGTAAGATGAAGTTGGCGATCCTGACTCGCCATCTCCTCACTGGACGTGCCTTTAGAGAGAATAGCATCTTTAGGGATTACATAATAAAAGAGTTTTTGTTTTCAATTATAATTATTTCGTTTTATAGTAGTAATTTAAAGCTTTCTATAGATACATTTATCATGTCTGTGAGGCAAGTATTCGTTGAGTTTCGGATCATTTTTGTGAAACACTACTGTTTCTTTATTTTAAAAAAGCACAACGTTTTGTAAATTTGTAACCCTTTACAGTTCTGAATGATGCATTACTCCTATATTTATGAGCAAGTTGTTTCTGTTATTAAGAAAAAAGTGCAAGTGATCGCGCCGGTGCCTCAATGTCCTGCAGAGCGCACTTTAACTTCCACTCTTCGCACAAACGATTGGATATTATACGCCTAACAGCGCTCATTTTTTTGTTATATTTTTAAACTAACATTGTGATATGCTTGAAGTGTTTTATATCTATAGATTTTATTTTAGGCAAGTCGTGTTGATTTGAGAAGGCTAAATTGATCAAACATAATGAACTCATTGACTGCCGCTGGCCGCTTGGTCGTTACTTTAAAAAAACAAAAACTTGAATTTAAAAAACAAAAAATGTTCCAAACATATTTCTTCATTAAATTAATATTGAAAAGAAAAGAAATATAACCACTTTGCCATTAAAAATAAAACTGAACTATTTTAATGGCTGCAACAGCAGCTGTGCAATAGGGAAGAGAGAGAGAGAGAAAAGAGACGGGCTCCAGTTGGACTCGGGCCGAGAAATTTATATTTCGTTTCTTTCAATTTCTTATTAAGCATCAAAAGAAATAACACATTCATCTGGAAGAAGGCCCAAATTTCTGTCTTGCATACTTCCCTTAAAACTCTTCATGGCATCCCTGACTATATATATATATATATATATATATATAATATGCAATGAAATCTAACGCGAAATGCAATTTAAATATGCAATAAAATTGTTTGCTGTAATATTATAAAATGTTGTATATGCAAATATTAAATATAATATTTAATTTATTTATGTACTTATAATCGATGACTAAGTCAGTAGCAGAAGTCAGTTGTAGAACATTTTTTATTTAAATATGCAATAAAATGTAATGCAAAATGCAATTTAAATATGCAATAAAATTGTTATATTATAAAATATGCATTGCATATGCAAATATGAAATATATGCAAATATGCAAATAATTGTATATGTATAGTCAATGACTACTATGTCAGTAGTTTAAGTCAGTTGTAGACATTTGTTATTTAAATATGCAATAAAATGTTTACGATATACTGAAAATGTGCAAGTATTAAATATTATATGTAAATATGTAAAAAATATTGTTTTGAATACTAAAAATTAATGACTATAAGTCAGTTGTAGAAATATTTTATATAAATATGCAATGAAATGTAATGCAATATGCAGTTTAAATATGCAGTAAAGTTGTTTGTTATAATATTAAAAAATATTGCATATGCAAATATTATATGTACATTTGCCAAAAATATGTTGTTTTGTATATTCATAATCAATGACTATAAGTCAGTAGTTTAAGTCAGTTGTAGAACATTTTTTATTTTAATTTTTATTTAATGCAAAATGCAATTTAAATATTCAATACAATTAAGTTATGCTATAATATTATAAAATACTCCATATGCAAACTGTTAATGTTTGTTATTGTATTACATTATAAAATATTGCATGTTGTGCTGTATACAGTGACTACAAGTCAGTAGTTAAAGTCAGTTTAGGAACAGAAATTTAGGCAAAATAAAGACCAATCAGAAAGCTAATGTTTCTGTATTTTGTGATCCAGACACTCAGTTTGATGTGGGCAGCTGTAGTGTGAACGGCTCCGATCCTCTGAAGCCCAAATGTCCTGTGCTGAACGATGATAACATGCCGGTGTTCCCAGAATGGCTGACCATCATCATGCTGTGTGTCTATCTGCTCTTCGCCAACATCCTGCTGCTCAACCTCCTCATCGCCATCTTCAAGTGAGTACACAGACAGAGACGGGTGACCAGAAACACTTACCTGCTTCATTTGCACAGCGGCTCCGTTTCCAAAGCCTACTGAGCTGACTTGATGTCTACTGTACATGCACACTGTACGCAGCAGCTCTGTGCATCATACAAATAGCAGTCTTTATGAAAGACTTGACTCATATTTGATTCCAGTAGACATGGTACTGTAAAAAGCATGAAAATGCACAACACAAACAAATGTTTTAGGACTGTACAAAACAAAAAAAATGTCATCTCAATATTTTTGTGTTTGCTCTCAAATAAATAAAATAAATCTTTTTTTATCAGACACAGTAAAATTGATCAAATAGTTAATTAGATTTAAATATTTAACAATGTTTGTGTATTTATTTATGCAGGCAAATATCTGGTTATTTGCTATTTTTATATTTTTTCAAATATTATTTTCTTTAATATAATTTAAGCATATTTTTATATTTTTATGTATAATATTTTTTAAAAATTCATAATTATACTGCTTTATTTTTTATTTTTTACCTTAAAATGCCTGATTTTGTATCTTGTGTCATCTGCGAAGTACAAAACTGTAAAAGATGCATGATAAAATATGGCCGTGAATTTCTCTCATTGTGCCTCACAGCTACACGTTCCAGGAGATCCAAGACAACACAGACACCATCTGGAAGTTCCAGCGCTACGAGCTGATTAAGGAGTACCACAGTCGACCCGCTCTTCCTCCACCCTTCATCCTCCTCAGTCACCTCCTCCTCTTCATCAGAGGAGTGCTGCTGCGCTACCCTCCACAGAAACACAAACACTTCAGTGAGCCAAAACGCCTTCTCCAGAAAACACACACATCGTGATAGATTATTGATGTTCATTTCTCAAGATAAAACTATCAGCATGAAGTCTAGTCCAGTTTATTCTGGCCAAGAAACGCCAACTTAGACAGGAAGAGTCTGACTTTCTGATCAACATATAAAGCAACAGAAATTATTAATTTAGTTTATTTAGCTGCTGCATGTTTACATTTTCTGAAATAGTTGACACTAATATATATATATATATATATATTAATTACACTAATGCTGAAATATAAATATTGAATTGCCCAACAAACTAAAATAAATGTTCTAAAAATAAAGTTTAAGTTCTAAAATTACTTAAGCTGAAAAAAATAAAAAAATATATAAAAATAATAAAAATTGTTAAAATGTATAATAATAATAATTAAAATGGAAAACATATAGTAATAATAATAATAATATAAAACATATTTAATAAAAAATAAGTAAAAACTGAGAATATGCTATAACAGTATATAAATAATACTAAAATAACATCGGTGCGTTAATCTTAGTTTGAACAACTAATCCAATACAATCCGAGTCAGAACTGCCCTTTTTTAATTATATTTTTATTTATTATTATATATTTATTAATATTAACTGCCTGGTTTATTGTGTACCATTTACATTTATGCTTTTGACAGATGCTTTTATCCACAGTGACATTTAATGTTTACATTTTTATCAGTTCATGCATTTCCTGGGAATCGAACCCAAAGAACTTGCTGAAAATGCTCTATCATTTTTAATGTCTTGGAAAAACTGTGTTGAGTGTCTCAGTCCCTGGTTTCAGCGCATGATTCTTCACAGGACAGGAGCTGGAGCAGACTGAGGAAGAGGAGCTGTTGTCATGGGAGGCCTACATGAAGGACAACTATCTGGCATCGACGCGGCAGGACGAGAGCCAGAGCGTGGAGCATCGTATCCAGGACACCGCAGAGAAGTAACCAAGAGATGAGCAACACCGAAATATAACATCACAATGTTTGAGTACAGACTATGATCTGAATTCAGTAGGAAATGTTTAAATCTACTCTAGAATATGGGGAAAATATAGGGGGAGGGGCTTAAATAATAGTCATGGGATTACAAGTCTTACACTCATGAATATTAATTACATGACATGATGTTCCTACTTGATTTGCTGAAGTATGAAGTACACGAATCCTGCCCAGATTCTGCACATTTTTGGCTTGAAATTCTATCTACTTCAACTTAAAAACTTAAGTTCAGTTACTGCCTTAAATGAATGGAAAAACATGTTACCATGACTTATGGATCACATCATTGTTTGCAGTGATTACAGTGAAATGGTTTTCCATGGCCGTTTACAATGGGTTTTCTTCACACTGTGGCCAAACAAAATGAATCTCTTAAAATATAATGTTAATCTCCCAAAAAAAAAAAAAAAGTGCAAAGAAATTCAAAATCTGTGCCTAACCTTTTTGCTGAGAATTTTTTATTTTTACTGCTTCATTTTTCAGATGTAATACAGAACAATATAAATTAAAGCTAAATAGAAATATTTACAAACATATATAAATAAATGAAATAAAAATGACAAAAGCCCATAAAATTACTAACGCTTAAAAAAGAGAGAGAATTTATCAAAATTATATATATATATATGTATATACTGTATGTATACTGTATGTATATATAATATTATTGTATGACTAACATTTACATTTATTCATAATAATTATATATATATATATATATACACACACACACACACACACACAAAAGCACGTAACAATTACAAAAACTACAAATAAAAGCTAATTCAAAATATTAATAAATACTATATATATATATATATATATATACTGTATATATATATTAATAATGAATTATATATAATTATACATATATACACTTACTGTACATATGTACTCTGTGTGTGTGTGTGTGTATAGATTCAAAACAATACACCTAACAGAGAAAGAAGAGAAAAAAGCATGCAACTAGGACATAGAATGTCATCAATGTATAATCATAACAATTGATTGCGCTTAATTTAGGAGGGTAAGGCTTCAGACTTTCACATGAAAGCTCATATGAAGGTGAAGCATGTCCGTTTCCTCTCAGGGTTGGCGTGATGTCAGAACTCCTGGAGCGCGAGCAGGAGATGGTTTCTGCCACCGTGGCAAAACGACTGGCCAAGCTTGAAGAGCAGGTGGAGTTCTGCCACAAACACTCAGAAATACCCCAGAAACAGTGTTTTACAGTCCGTTTGGTCTGTTCACTTTTTCAGGCAGCATGGCAAAGCACATGTGAGTGTCAGCCGGTGAATCTCTTGTCTTCCGGCAGGTCTCAGAGTCCACCAAAGCTTTACGATGGATTGTGGACGCGCTGAAATCTCAGGGATGCAAATCCAAAATGCAGCAGCCTCTGATGAGTGAGTGAGCAGAGTGTTTTTAAGTCATCAGTATAACTCATGATCTGTCTTTTTAACAGTTCATGGCACATTCACATTCCTTTCTTTTTTAAAGTATTCAAGGCACAAATCCATTTTTTTTGTAATGAGAACTATTAAATGCACTACCTTTCAAAAGTTTGGGGTTGTTTTTGGTTTAGTTTTTTCTTCTGCTCACCAAGGCTGCATTTATTTGATCAAAAATACAGTAAAAATTGTGAAATATTATTACAATTTAAAATAACGACGTGAATATCTGTTAAAATGTAATTTATTTCTGTGATGCGCAGCTGTATTTTCAGCATCATTACTCCAGTCTTCAGCGTCACATGATCTTCAGAAATCAGTATAATATTCTGATTTGCTGCTCGAGAAACATTTCTGATTATTATCAATGTTGAAAACAGTTGTGCTGCACAATATTTCTGTGAAAACCATGATGCATTTTTATTTTTCAGGATTCTTTGATGAACAGAAAGTTCAAAAGAGCAGTATTTATTTGAAATAGATTTTTTTGTAGCATTATAAATGTCTTTGCTGTCACTTTTGATCAATTTTATGTGACCTCAAAACTGTAGAGTATTTTATATGCCCAATTATTTATCGTCACTTATTGTGTAAAGTGCTTCTGTTTGCTGCTGTTGTAAATGAGGTCCTCTGTCCATCCAGCAGGTAAAAGCTCTGACAGGGACGACGGTGAATCTAGTGGACAGGAGACAGATGAGGAATCAGCTCCTCACACGTTTGCACGTCAGCTTCAGTATCCCGGCAGTACCGTCAAACGCTTCCCCGTGCCTGAGGAGAAGGTGCCCTGGGAGGTACCTGATATTAATAACATCACATATTTTACCAAATTAAGCAACATCACGTTGGATTGTTTATCTTATGTGACACATACATGTATTTTGCTTTTTCAGGTAAACTTCACTCCATACCTTCCTCCAGTCTACAATCAACAGGACAGCAGCGAGTGAGTTTTACACTGACGGCACAATTAATCAAAGTGATTAATGATATTGTCTTGTGCAATTATTATGCAATATTAAATATGTAGTCTGCATGCTTCAAAGTAAATGGCGACTGTGTTCTAATGTGATCAAGCTCAAGGCAGTATTTCTATTTTTTAGATTAACTTGATGGACTATAATACGTAAAACTAAAATAAAAACTAAATGGACATATTTTTTAAAAATTTATATGAATTGAAAAAATGAAAAATATTTTATTTCAGCTAGTTGCCAAGGCAACATTTATTTATTTTTTAGTTTAAATTAAAAATTCTATTATTTAGTTTAAAATTCTTTAAAAGACAAAAACTAATAAAAACAACAAATTACTAAAAATGTTCACTAAAATTTTTATGAAAAATATTTTATTTCAGCTAGTTGCCTAGGCAACATTTCTGTTTTTATTTAGTTTAACTTGACAAGCTAAAATAACTAAAACAAAAAAATTTTATTTTCTTTTTTTAAATACTATATAGACACATAAAAAAATAATGATATTATTTTTCAATTATACTAAATTAACTCGGGTTAAAATTAATGGATTTTTTTTTTTATTTACAGTAAAACTATGTTGCATGTACAAAATATTATACAATAACAGTATAATATATAACAATTCAATTCTTCATAAATTGAATAAAAACGTAAAGCATCTTTATTCATCATTTTGTACAGGAGATATAAAGTTAAAAAATCTTGTTTTATACATTTTATATAGTAAAGCTACGTTGTCATCTTGCTCCAACCCAAGTGATCTGAACACACTTGACGTCATAATTATCACTTCCACACTCGTAAAAATGAATTTCCCAAGAGGACTTAAACACAATAAGGGTTTGCCTTAAAGAATTGTCTCTGGCATATACAACCAGGAAGTTGAATAGAAATGACAGGAAGATGCATTCACTGAATTTTGTTGGTGCTGAAAACATATTATAATTCTTGAAATGCTTGTTTTAGTATTCCTGACAGTACTTCTCATCTTGCTGTTTTTGTCAATAAAAACGCTATTTTCTTTGCACAGCTCTGACACTTCAGTCTTGGACAAGTACAGGTATGCAAAAAGTAATATGTGACCCTGCAGCACAAAAGCAGTGTTAAGTCGCTGGGGGATATTTGTAGCAATAGCCAACAATACATTGCATGTGTCAAAATGATAGATTTTTCTTTTATGCCAAAAATCATTAGGCTATTAAGTAAAGATCATGTTCCATGAAGATATTTTGTAAACTTCCTACCGTAAATATATCAAAACTTCATTTTTGATTAGTAATATGCATTGCTAAGAACTTCATTTGGACAACTTTAAAGATGATTTTCTCAATATTTTGATTTTTTTGCACCCTCAGATTCCAGATTTTTTTTAATAGTTGTATCTCGACCAAATATTGTCCTATCATAACAAATCATACATTAATGGAAAGCTTATTATTAAGCTTTCAGATTATGTATAAATCTCAATTTCGAAAAGTTGACCCTTATGACTGGTTTTGTGCTCCAGTGTCACATATATATATATATATATATATTCATCTGTGTCTTTATTCTCCTACTTGAATACCCTCAGATTCCAGATTTTTTTAAATAGTTGTATCTCAGCCAAATATTGTCCTATCATAACAAACCATACATTAATGGAAAGCTTATTATTAAGCTTTCAGATTATGTATAAATCTCAATTTCGAAAAGTTGACCTTTATGACTGGTTTTGTGCTCCAGTGTCACATATATATATATATATATATATTCATCTGTGTCTTTATTCTCCTACTTGAATTTGCATTTAATTCGTTTGCGTGTTAAGTTTTATTCTCATGAATGGATTTGACAGGAATCCAGGAGGAAGGACTGGGATTCGAGGAAAAGGGTCTCTGAAATCCCTCGGTCCGAATCACATTCTCCACCCAATCCTCACCAGGTGAATTAAAATCCCCTTCATGTCCTGATCTTCACTGGAATTAAACTCTAATCTCATATCAGATTGAAGTTTACAACCGAACGCACCAAAAACAAACACAGTCCCACATCGTTTGTGGGATTATAGCAGATTAGCGATTCATCCCGTGTCCTTTGTTCATCCCGCTGTTCGTGAGAGGAATGCTAGAGGAGCTTTCTCTCTGTTTCTGAAGGTGGCGTGATGCTGAACACAAGGTGCTGGAGTTTCTCACCGTTTGGGAGGAAGCGGAGAAGCACTGGGCTCTTCCTGGGGTGAGAATGCAGAAAATCTGAGATAAATACACTACAGGACAGAAATAGGGAATAATTAAGATTTTATTTTACGGTTTTGAAGTCTCTTCTGCTCACCAAAGCTGCATTTATTTGATCAAAAATGCTATAAAAATAGTGAAATATTATTACAATTTAAAATAACTGTTTTCTATGTGAATATCTGTTATAATTTAATGTATTTCTGTGATGCGCAGCTGTATTTTCAGCATCATTACTCCAGTCTTCAGAGTCACATGATCTTCAGAAATCAGTATAATATTCTGATTTGCTGCTCAAGAAACATTTATGATTATTATCAATGTTAAAAACAGTTGTGCTGCTCAATATTTTTGTGGAAACTGTGATACATTATATTTTTCAGAATTCTTTGATGAATAGGAAGTTCAAAAGAACATGAAATAGAATCTTTTATTACAATATAAATGTCTTTACTGTCACTTTTGATCAATTTAATGCATCCTTGCTGAATAAAAGTATTAATTTCTTACTTACCCCAGTCTTTTGAATGGTAGTGTATCAGTGTTTCCATAAAAATATGAAGCAGCACAGCTGTTTTCAACATTGATAATAATCAGAAATGTTTCTTGAGCAGCAGAATATTAGAATGATTTCTGAAGGATCGTGTGACACTGAAGACTGGAGGAATGATGCTGAAAATTCATTCATAAATTACATTTTAAACAGCTATTTTAAATTATAATAGCATTTAAAACATTTTACTGTATTTTTGATCAAATGAATGCATCCTTGGTGAGCAGAAGAGACTTGAAACATTTGCTTTTTAAACCGTCATAAAAAGCATCATATTTGCTTTACTGTTATTTTGGAACCAAGATGAGCTAGTTATACTCAAACACAACACAAACTGGCTTTATAGATATGCTAAGCATATATTGAGTCAATCCTAAACATTTTTCTTGTAGGGCCCAGTCAAAGCTAATGAGCCTCTAGCACAGACACTGGAGAGGATTCTGGGAAAAAAGTTACATGACAAGACCAAGTCTCAAATAGAGGCTGGAGAACAGGTGAGCATCTCTGATTAAAAAACATTGTTACAGACATTAAGATCATAGATTTAAACTGTACCATGTTTCCTATATTAACTATGGGTCAGTTAACTTTCATTTAGCAGACATTTCCTGTTGCATGGAAAAAATACAGCATGCAATGAGTAAATAATTAGATAATTTAGATTTTTATGAATGAATTATTACGTGCATGCAATCTATGCTATATTTTTCTTTATTATTAGTTCAAACATAATCACCTGGTGCAACTGCTGTATCAGAAATGGCAAAAATCCACACACACACACATAGATATAGATAGATTTTGGCCTCCAACGATTATGAAAATACAATAATTGAGATAAAACGATAATTGCCCCCCATTCTGGCCCCTTTTCCTGCGCTGCGCTTTCATTCCTCCATAAAAGCCCAATTTCACATGCAAATCAGTAAAATCATGTAAGGTGACTTTTGCAAAATGGGACATGTAGGTTATTGGGTTGCAAACTGCTTGAGACTTGCATAAAAACATTAAAGCACAGTTTGTTTCATTTGTATAAAATACACGAGCGGTGTCCGATTCGCTAATGAATCGTTCTTTTGAGTCGGATCTTTTGTCTGTCGGTCTGAACAATTCTTTCATGAATGAGACTGAGTTGGGTTCACGTGTCCGATTCGTGATGACTGAACCGAGGATTTTGGTGATGGGACGAACAGAGTTCCCAGATTTTGGTTTCCACAGGGGCCTAGATTACGCAGGGGATGTGTCCCCCCCACTTTTAATAGCAAGTAAATTCGTCCCCCGCACTTTTTCGGGCAAGTGTGTTCGCATAGATGTTTTCAAGAGCCGGTGTGAATAAATATAGATTTAAATTCAAAGAGACAGGATAGTCTGTGCATGATCTGATGTTTTATTCGGACCCAGAATAAGGCGAGATGAACATCGCGGAGCGCTAAACACTCCGTGCAGAGTATGTTTCATTCATTCTTGAAGCCGGAGGCGCTCTCCCGCAGAAAGTCGTACGAGGAAATCCCTAACATGGACAAAAGCGGCCAGCTATCGCTGTATGAAAACTGTTTTCACAGAAAACAGAAACGTTTGGAAACAGGAAACATGAAGACATTAAACATACGATTGCGAGAATATATGGTTTATTTGTGTTTGTCAAGTCATCTCCAGGTAATAAATAAAGTATATGAACAATGCAGTGCTAACTGACATAGCATTTATTACAGTATTGAAACTATTCTGCCTTATTATGTGATAAAAAAGTGTTTGTAGTATAAAAACAAATCATTATTATTGGTTATTGTCCAGCTGTTATCTGATTTCTAAGCCAATTAAAAGCTAGAAATCTGAGAAAAATTAAAGTTGACTACACTACCAGTCAAAAGTTAATGAACAGTAAGATTTTTAATGTTTTTTAAATAAGTTTATTTGATCCAAAGTACAGCAAAACAGTACAATTTTGAAATATATTTCAAATAACTGTTTTCTATTTGAATATATTTTAAAATGTAATTTATTGTGATGTCAAAGCTAAATTTTTAGCATCATTACTCCAGTCACACCATCCTTCAGAAATCATTCTGAAGTGCTGCTCAAAAAACATTAATAATAATAATAATAATTAAAACAAGTTTCTTGAGCAGCAAATCAGCATATTAGCATATTAGAATAGTGACACTGAAGACTGGATGAGTGTGTATACGTGTATGTTTATATGTGTGTGTCTGTGTCTGTCTGTGTGTGTGTGTGTGTGTGTGTATACGTGTATGTTTATATGTGTGTGTGTCTGTCTGTCTGTGTGTGTGTATATGTGTATGTTTATATGTTTGTGTGTGAGAGAGAGAGAGAGAGTGTGTGTGTGTGTGTGTGTTTATGTTTGTGTTTGTTTGTGTTTGTGTGTGTGTTTTTGTGTGGAAGACTGGAGTAATGATGCTGAAAATACAGCTTTGATCACAGAAATCCTTTTAAAATATATTCAAATAGAAAGCAGTTATTATATTTAAATAGTAAAAAATATTTCACAACATTACTGCTTTTGCTGTACTTCGGATCAAATAAATGCAGGCTTGGTGAACAGAAGAGACTTCTTTATAAAACATTAAAAATCTTACTGTTCAAAAACTGTTGACTGGTACGTTATATAGATTACAGAAATGTTATATTGTAATGTTTTATTTATATATATATATCACTTTTCTGTCCCCCTCACTTCTGAAATGATGGCTACACCCCTGGGTTTCCAGAATGTTCTTATTGTTCCCTCAAAAAATAAAATAAAATAATATAAAGAAAGAAAGAAATGGTTTCCAGTGTTGGTTCTAATAAACAGGACTTTATTATTAAATAGCATGCACAAAAATAGTTTGATTTAAATTCGAGGTATATTGTAATGAAGTGAAACACTGGTAAACGTTACTAATACAATTAACTTGACGTAAAAGAATCACTATTTAGGTTCTTATTCCGTTTTAAATAGTCAAGAAAAGTAAACTATTTTGCATCTTTTTTGTTCATTGCGTTTACTCGAGATTATTTTGGAAGGATTTGGAATTCTATATTAACAGAAAAATAGAGTGTATGATAGAAATGTGTATATTTGATGCACTTTTTTATACAGAAAACGAACATTTGAATTGTAAAGAACAACATATTACACATTTGTTTATTTTGTTAGGAAAATTCCAGATACATGAGAAGAAGTGGGCTCAATGTAAACCATATTTTGCACATTTTATAAATGACTTTAAATGATATGTAAATCTCTTAGAACAAACACAAATCAAAAAAGCACTGAAAACAAAAACAACTTTTTTTTTCTCTGGCAGCTAATAATGTTAATTTGATAATGTGAATATGTAACACCTCATGTTCTCGTGGCATTGAATTAATAAAGCATTAAAAAAAAATCCCTTTTAAATAAATAACCAAATGGGAACATAGTGGAGAGTTCTGTATTTGCTGGTTTGGTTTATAATTATCATTATTTTGTTAGTAAATAGCGCGCAAAAAATGTTTTTGCTTATTTTAATGTAAGATGCATTAAAGTCGCGACGAATCATGGCTCTAACGAAGTGGAAAATTGATAAACCTCACTAATAAAATAAACGTAGCATTAGCAATATGCGTCTGGGACGCAGGGACAACGCGATGACGTAAAAGAATCACTGATTTGGTTCGTTGAGTCGGTTCTTTCGAACGAACTGTTCGAAAGAACCGGTTCGCTCAAATGAATCGGACTTCCCGTCCATAACAGACAATACAGCGTGCACAATACCAAACCAGAGAAGTGTGAGTCACGGAGCAGTACTAAATTGAACGCGTGAGCGCAATAATACGCGCGCTGTGTCGGATATTCCGCATTCAGCATCCTGCGGGACCCGGATCAGTGAGAACGTGCAGGTGCACCGGTCAGAGCATGCGGAAGTGACGTGTGCGCTCACGCGACTGGCGTTAAACCGTCGGGATTAGATCGGAGCAGCTCAGCGCGTTAAACGATAGGATTTCACTCCTTTCCTTCATATGCACATGTATGTATATATATATATATATTCGCATTTTTGATTTCCGATCGCTCGGAATTGATTGTAGAATAAACGCTGGTGTATTTTACGCCATTTTTGGGTTTGTGTGTGTGTGTGTGTGTGTGTGTGTGTGTGTGTGTGTGTGTGTGTGTGTGTGTGTGTGTGTGTGTGTGTGTGTGTGAAACGTTTTGCTGAAAATGCACAATACACAATTCATTATGTACATTAACAACGATTCGGGACCAATATAATGTAATTTAAAGGAAAACTATGTGAATGGCGCTCTGTGGCGCGGCAGGATTTTCTGTTGGCTGCATTTAAATCCGCATCTGAAGTTTACTGCTCTGTTCAGCGTGTGTCTAAACAAATAGCACGTGCTGTCAGTGATTTCAACCACTAGAGGCCGCTCTCGCACTGTGTAATGACAGCAGACCCTTCTCAGCCGCTCCAGCAATGGACGCAACCCGGAAAACTATCGGCATGGATTTTTGCCGATAACTGATAGTTCCAGCAATCAACTATCGGTGCCGATTAATCGGCAAAACCGATACATTGGTCGACCTCTAATTATTTTGGCATTTTGCACGGCCTGTCTATAAATAAAGAAGCTGATGTGTTGCTGAAAGCTTGGAAGCTTTGCTTTAGTTTAATGTTATGTTTTTTTTTAAACAGAACAGTTTAGTGACCTTTAGACAACATATAAAAGATGCATGTGTTTCTGTTGAGTATACATCAGGCTTGTATGGCTCATAAATAATGTAGTCTGATATAGTGAGAATATGGAGTCAAACTGAGCAAAAATATGCAATTTGGTGCAGATGCTGATATTTATATAGACAAAAAGTGATGAAATTCTGATGCTTGTAATGTAAATCAATGAGATTTTTATAACACTACAGCAGATACTTACATAAAATGAGTAATATCTCCAGTAATATGTCTTAGTAAGATGATATTTCAAATATCCAAACATATAATGCGATGCAATCCAGTGCTGATTGAGAGCTGAAGAAATAAAGGCTCCTCCTCAGATGTGAGATGTTCTGGAGGCTTGTGAAGATCATTCCTCCGCTGAGGAACAGTGAAAGTAAAGCTTCTGGAAACAAACGCTCCTCAAAAGATCCTGAGGATCAGATTTGAGACTCTAAAACATGATTGATGGAGAATCAAGTAAAGCTGAGCTGCTTCAGTCTAGTAAGTGTTCATCTGGAGATATTATTGCTCACACACAGAGCCATGCAGATGCACATGAACACCGAATTCCCTTCACTTTATCTATTTGTGCCTGAAATGACACTTACGTGTGAAATGATGTCGAAATGCATGTCTCTGCATGTCTGCTAAACACAGTTGCTTATGGCTTAAAACGGATGTGTAACAGTATATTGGTTCACAGCAGTTTAATGCTCCTGTTGCTTTCTGTGTCTTAAATGTTAATCAAACAACAAAACACAGAGAAAAATCACTTTTGGAGCTTTAACCCGGATTCATTAGATTTATACAGG